AGGGACCCAATGCGGGGCTTGATCCCAGGACCCTGGGACCATGACCCAAGCCGAAGGCAGACGCTTAACGACTGAGCCACCCAGGCGCCCCTAGGGTTTCATTATTATATTCTTTTTCCTTTACCTTGGCTTAAAGTTTTTCACAATAAAATGGTTGGTTTGTTTTTGTTTTTTTTATTTTAAGGATCTTTTTAAAAATATTTTATTTATTTATTTGAGAGAGAGAGTGAGCAGGAGGGTGAGGCAGAGAGAATCTGAAGCAGACTCCGCTCTGAGCTCAGAGCTGGACGAAGGGCTTGATCCCATGGCCCTGAGATCATGACCTGAGCCAAAACCAAGAGTCGGACGCTTAACCAACTGACCACCTAGGCACCCCTGGGTTTTGTTGTTGGTGTTGTTTTTAAAGATGACCCTATGCCTACCATCATTCCCATTTTTTCCCAATGGGAAAGTGGAGGTACAGAGAGGTTAGGTGACTTGTCCAAGAACACACAGCTAGAGTAAGTGGAATAGCTGGGAATCAAACTCAGGCAGGCCAGCTTCAGTGATCGTGGGGCCCCTCATCGCTCTGCTGTCACAGCCCCTGGCCTGACCTTCCGGCCCTATCACAGTATGACCCTGGATATGTTCTTACCCCTCTGAGGCTGCTCCCTCATCGCTAAGATGGGCCGATGACCACCCCCACACAGAGCTGTGAGAATTAAGTGGGATCAGACCTGCCGTGTGTCTTGGACAGTGCTTGGCTTGTGGTGTCTGCTGCCATTATGTCAGAAGCCTCAAGTGGTCACAGGATGTGTTGTGGGCCCACTATGCTGGGTCTTTGGGTGGAAGAGAACAGCATCTGCCCTCAGGGGCTCAGAGTCTCATGGGGTTGGACCACACACGTGTGGGTGAGGATGATGTGCCCCCATGCCTGCACCCAGAAGGGCAGCGGAAGGACTGTTTGGGCGGGGGGAGTTTAGAGAGCCTGGCCTAACCTGACCCTGTCAAGTCAACAGAGGAGGTCCTCAGGCTGAAGGCAGTACCTGGGTGGCCTTGTTGCAGGACCGCCACCCCCCGCATCGGGGACGTGATCCAGAAACTGGCTCCATTCCTGAAGATGTACAGTGAGTATGTCAAGAACTTTGAGCGAGCGGTTGAGCTGCTGGCCACCTGGACTGACAAGTCTGCACCCTTCCAGGAGGTGATCACCCGCATTCAGGTGAGGCTGGGTGAGGGCTGGGGCCGAGCCCGCACCGCCACCCCCAGTGTGTACTGGCTCAGTTTCCCCGAGGGATTTGGGGCACCTCCGGCTCAGCTGCTTGCACGGGCTCCCGCGCCTGCCTGCCTCGCCCATTCCCCCACCCCTCTTGGCAGCCCAACCCGCCCTTCCCCACTCTCACCCCACACTCTTCCTCCTCCCATCCCTCCCCAAGAGCAGTGAGGCCTCCGGCAGCCTGACTCTGCAACACCACATGCTGGAACCTGTGCAGAGAATCCCACGCTACGAGCTACTGCTCAAGGAGTACGTCCAGAAGCTGCCAGCCCAGGCCCCAGACCGGGCTGATGCTCAGAGTGAGGACAGCCCCCGGGAATGCACGTGGCTGGGGAGGCCTGAGCCACTCCCCTTTATTGATTGAGCACCTGCTAAAATGGTCGGAATAACTATCAGCTATCAACATTGATTGCTGACACTTCATAGACATTATCTATACTATTAGCCATTTTTTATAGACACTAAGGCCCAGAGAGATCAAGTGACCTGCCCAAGGTCACACAGCCAGAAAGGGGCAGAGCTGGGATTTGAAGCTATGCCTGTATTATGCCAAAGCCCGTGCTCTTTCCACAGCACCCTCTGGGTCTGGCTTGGTTTGGGGAGCAATGAGATGGTCACAGAAGCCCAATGCCTAAGCCTTGTCTTTCAGTGGCTTCCAGTCTCTCCACTCTGGGTGGGAAATGGCCCCCATCATCCAGTCATTTCATGTGGGGGGCCAGGTTGGTCCTACGGTCACTCATAGCAGGCCCTGAGGCCACTTTGTTAAGCCTCAAGGACTTCCTGCCTCAGGCCCCAGCCCCACGTTTTCATGGAGGTAATTCTGGCCCTGCACCTCCCTTCAGAAGCGCTCGACATGATCTTCTCAGCCGCTCAGCACTCCAACGCAGCCATCACGGAGATGGTGAGCAGCCGGCCCTCAGGGTGGGAGCGGCAGGCGTCCCCAGGGGCCCTGTACCTCCTCCCTGCAGCTCTCAGCCTCCCGCAGCCCAGCCTGGTCTCTCTCCCCTCATCCCCTGATCCCACCCCGTGATACCTGGCCCACTGCTGTCCTCCCCCTCGCCTCCCGTCCCTGTCCACACAAGGCAAACCTTCCAGAAGCAGGTGGGTCCTGCCTGGCCGTGGCTGAGGGTGCACTCCCTGTCCCAGGAGCGCCTGCAGGACCTGTGGGACGTGTACCAGCGCCTGGGTCTCGAGGACGACATAGTGGACCCCTCCAACACCCTGCTCCGCGAAGGCCCAGTCCTCAAAATCTCCTTTCGCCGCAGCGACCCCATGGAGCGCTACCTTTTCTTGGTACGGGGATGCTAAGTGGCCCCCTTGCACTGGAGAGCGCAGTCCAGGGACCACCCCGCCCCAGGTCCTGCCTGCCTGGTGTCTACCTGGCACCGAAGGAGAAACAGGGAAGAGCCTGCTTCTCTGTCCTTCTCTGCTTTGGCACCCAAGTGACTTTAGACAAGTCACATGCTGCCTCTAGGCCTCAGGGATTTCCAACCAAGGGGTTTCTCAGATAGGCCCTAGGAAGCAACAGAGTCAGAACTGGAACCCAGTCTGTTTGGCTCCAAACCTTGAGTATTAAACCGTGCTCTAGGGAGTGCAAAGCAGGAGAGAATCACGTTAGCTGCTAAGAAGAACTACCCAGATTTGCACTAGAGAAGCCAGGGGGTCTCCTGGAAATCTGGAAACTGGTCCCGCCTGGAGGTCTGGGGGAGGGAGCTGCAATGTCCCATAAGCCCCTGCAGCCCTGAGCCCCCGTGAGAAAGGCCTTATAAGTCTGATGCCCACAGACGGGGCGACCCTTCAGTGACCATCCTCGTTGGATTGGAGGCTAGATAGGCAACCCCTTCCTCATCACACCTGTGACTCCTGTGAGCTGGCCCGGGACGTGGCGAGAGGACAGGGAGATGCAGGGGTGCTCCCCCCACTCGCAGGGAAGCCCTGCCCCTCGCATCTTTCTTGCCCCGCCACTACACCCCCACTCACCATTCTGTGTCCTCCGGCAGTTCAACAATATGCTGCTCTACTGTATACCCAAGGTCATCCAGGTGGGCGCCCAGTTCCAGGTGAGGACCCGCATCGACGTGGCCGGAATGAAGGTGAGAGGCACCCCGCCCACTGTCAGGCTTCATCCCGAGGGTGGGCTCAAGTATGGGGAATAGAAGCAGGGTCCGTGCTGGGTTCTCAATCCAGGAACCTAAATCTGGCAGATCCTGGGCCAACATGGAGGTGGAAACCTTTGGGACTGGAGTTCTCCCATGTGGGCACCCACAGGCCTGGCCCACTCTTTGGGGCAGCGCCCACCCCGACCTGGCCTCTCTCTGCTTTCCCTCTCCACTACCCCAGTGCTTTGACAACTTTAATATGTGCATGAGGCCCCTGGGAGTCTTGTTAAAATGCAGGTCCTGATTCAGTAGGTCTGGGGCGGGGCCTGAAACTCTGCATTGCTAACCAGCTCCCAGGGCACACTTGGAGTAGTAAGGGGCTACCCTGTCAGTTCCACCGCAGGACCCTGTGTGTCGCCAGCCAGAAATGGCTACAAATGAGTGGGGACAGCAGCCCATAATAGTGCCCACTGACTGGCTGGTCCCTGTGGATCGGGCCCTGCATCACCCCATCAGACTCTCATGTATCCCTATAGTGGAGGGGCTGTTATTTTCCTTTGCATTTTGGGTTTTTTTTTCTTCTTTTAAAAACAACACTTTTGTTACTTAAGAACATAGATGATACACATCCCCAAATCAAATATAAAAAGTGTATACAATGAGAAGTCTCCTCCCCACTCTATCCCCTCGTCCCCTTCCTGGAGACAGACTTTGCTTCTTCAGAGGCCTTCCGGGGGCAGTCTTTACAGACACCAACTAATAATATGTTTATTATTGCTTCCTTCCTTACGTTCCACATAAACAGTGAAACCGTTTTCCATGAACACTGTTCTGCACTCTGCTCTTTTTCACTAAGTGCTACCTCTGGTGATGGGTGCACGTCAGTATCACTAGGAGCCCCCTCACCCTTCTGCAGGTAGCTGCGGAACATCCCCGTGTGTGCAGAGTACCGTGATTCATTCAGCCCACCCGCTACTGAGGGACGACTAGATCGTTTTCAGTGAATAACTAAAAATGAATAACTAGGTACATGCCTGTGTGTGAGGATATCTGTAGTCAGTCCCATAAAAAAAAAATAAGGAAATAAACTGTGGCACATCTAGACAATGGAATATTATTCAGTGATAAAAAGAAATGAGCTCTCAAGCCATGGAAAGGCAGACAGGAAGCTTCAGTGCATTTTGCTAAGTGAAAGAAGCCAATTTGAAAAGGCTACACACAGTATGGTTCCAGCTATCTGACACTCTGGAAAAGGCAAAACTGTGGAGACAGTAAAAAGCTCGGTGGTTTCCAGGGGTTAGCAGGGAGGGAGGGACACATAGGTGGAACACGGAGGATTTTAAGAGCAGTGAAACTATTTCGTGCAATACTATAGTGATACCTGTCATCACACATTTGGCCAAACCCACAGAATGTACAACACCAAGAGTGAACCCTAATGGGAACCGTGGACTCTGGGTGATCATGACGTGTCCATGTAGGTTCATCAATTCTAACAAATGTCCCGCTCTGGTGGGGGATGTTGATAATGGGGAGGTTCTGTGGGGGGCGGGGTGGGGGGCTATATGGGAAATCTCTGTATCTTCCTCTCCATTTTGCTGTGAACCTAAAACTGCTCTAAAAAAATTAAGTCTTTTTTTTTTTATTAGTTTCAGGGGTAGAATTTAGTGATTCATCAGTTGCATAAAACACCCAGCACTCATTACATCAAGTGTCCTCCTTAATGCCTATCACCCAGTTACCCCATCCTCCCACCCCCTCCCCTCTAGCAACCCTCGGTTTGTTTCCTATGATTAAGAGTCTCTTATGGCTTGTCTCCTCCTCTGTTTTCATCTTATTTTATTATTCCTTCCCTCCCCTATGTTCATCTGTTTTGTTTCTTAAATTCTACATATGAGTGAAATCATGATAATTGTCTTTCTCTGACTGACTTATTTCGCTTAGCATAGTACCCTCTAGCTCCATCCACATCATTGCAAATGGCAAGATTTCATTCTTTTCAATGCCTGAGTAATATTCTATTGTATATATACACCACATCTTCTTTATCCATTCATCTGTCGATGGACATCTGGGCTCTTTCGATAGTTTGGCTATTGTGGACATTGCTGCTATAAACATTGGGGTGAGGTGCCCTTTTGGACCACTATGTTTGTATCTTTGGGGCAAATACCTAGTAGTGCAATTACAGGGTCGTAAGGTAGCTCAATTGTTAACTTTTTGAGGAACCTCCATACTGTTTTCCAGAGTGGCTGCACCAGTTTGCATTCCCACCAACAGTGTAAGAGGGTTCCCCTAAAAGTCTTTTGAAAGGAAACCAAAGCCCAGAAAGGTTATAATTTGCTTGGGGGTCGCACAGCAAATCCTGGTTTGAGCAATCAAACCAGGTAAAACAGAGTCTAGAGTCCTTAATCACCACACTGGACTGTCTCCTATTAAGGCTTCAACTCAGAGGGTCAAAGCTTGTGCAGAATTGCATTCATAGTGGAGTAAGTCAGGGAGGGGGTATCTTTCTTGACAACTCTCGGATCACTCATGAGCCCCAGTGTGTCCTGAGGGCTGGGGCTGGGAGAAGCAGAAGTCAAGTCTGGCCTATCTTGGTATGCTTCCATTTCCCCCATCCCATATCCCTGTCACGCCCTCTCTTCCCTCTCCCAGGATCTGCCCCAGGAGGGAGGTGCAGGTAGGAGTTGAGCCAGGACCTTCCATCCTCTGGAGAACCTCTGGGCCTCTGAGAACCCTCAGCAGAGAGGAACATGCCCTTGCTCCTGACTGGGCTTGCCTGGCATTTGGGACCCAATTAAGGGCCTGGAAATGGGGTGAAGCCTGAGCATGATGAAGTCCAGTGGGGGGAACTGGGCTCCCTGTGGGGATTCCAGCCTCCTCCCCGTGCCTGAGCTGACTGAGGTCTTTTTGTTGTTGTTAAGATTTATTTATTTATGTGACAGACAGAGAGAGAGAGAGAGAGAGAGAGCACAAGCAGGGGGAGCTGCAGGCAGAGGGAGAGGAGAAGCAGGCTCCCCACAGAGTAGGGACCCAATGCGGGGCTTGATCCCAGGACCCTGGGATCATGACCTGAGCCAAGGGCCGACGCTTAACCGACTGAGCCACCCAGGCGCCCCTGACTGAGGTCTTTTACGAATGCAGCCCCTCACCCCAGGGCATCCAGCTTCCCTTCCTGAGTGGTCAGAATGTCCCAGAGGCCAGGGTGTGTGCAGGCTTGTGTGTCCGTGAGCCTTGGTGAATGAGATTGAGAAAGGCAGGTTTATGGAGAGTAACAGATAGAAATGGAGACAGGCAACCCTGTCTTAGGGCTGGCAGAGACCCAAGCAGAGAAAAAAAGAGGCAGAGATTGACAGATAGAAAAGCCAAGAAATAGAGAGGCCAAAACAGTCCTAAAGAGAAAATACACAGAGACAGGACCGAGAGCGTGAGTGCATGCCGGGTTCCTGGCGCCTGCCAACCCCAGCGAGCACATTTCCCGCACGGAGTGTTGGATTCTCCAGTGGCTGCACGGCACCTTCTCCTGAATGGCAGAGGCCAGGCAGGAACCATCTTCCGAGTCTGCCGTCTGAAGGCAGGTCTGGCCTTTGACCCCCATGACGGTTCCCACTGGCCCATGACCCCCTGGCCGCCTCCTTTCTGGATAGCAGGGAGGCCTAGTTCTCAGCAGCAGATTCTCCCTCAGGTCCGAGTCGGTCCTAACGTTGTACCATCCCGCACAAGGCCAGCCTGGGAAGAAGGAAGGGGTGCAGGCGCATCCATACCTAGAGTCTCCATGTACAACTACGTAGGTTGGGCACTGCACAAGCACACCTGCCCTAAGATGAGCTCACCTCATCCACAGCCGACATCGTGGATTGTTTATTTACAATTCTCATTGTCCGGCAGATGGCAGTCAAGCGTCTTGTTCCAACAAAATCTGAATATCATGCAGTTTGCCAACAGATGTCAGTAAAGTGTTTTGAAGAAGGGGTGTCTTTTTCTAATTAGCACAAAGGCACTGTATGGGTTAGCAGGGGCCTGAACCGGCCCAAACCTGGGGAGTGGTCGAGACTGGGCACAGCAGCTGCTGGGAATGTCCTCTAGAAGCTTCATCCTGCCCCTCTGCAGAGGTGGTCCCGGCCCCTCTGGTTCCCCTTTTTCTACTTAAAAGCAACATATTTCTTTTTACCTCTGGGCCCCAAACCTTAGATGTCTCCTTTCTTTCCCTCTCCCCTCTCCCTCACCAATTAGTCATGGAGTCTTGCCAGATTCCCCGATATCATCCTCCAGGGAGAAACCTCTCTCTTCCCAGGTGCAGGCAGGCCCATTTTCCCCAGATCCAGCCCCTCTTCGTCCCTTGCACACAGCCGCTGGTGTGGCTTTCCCAGACACCTCTTTCCACATGAGCTTCTCCATTTATCAACCCTCAGAGCCTCCCCATTGCCATGGGTTCAAGTCCAAATCACATTAGGCCCCTTCTAGAGGGATCAGACTGATTCTGTGGGCCCAAAGGGTAGAGCGGGCCTAACGTGAGGAAGGACATACCCAGACTGTTTCCCTGGGACACGGTGGGCCGCCCTGAGAGTGTGCGAAGGCCTGGTCACCACATGGCAGGGATCCAGCAGAAAGGCTCAGGTGGCAGGTAGAACAACAAAGTTCCCCACACCAGGGCTCTTGTCTATGTCTTAGTTTCCCTTTATGACCCTTCACACTGGGACAGGTCTGTGCTTACAGGACTCTGGGGGTGGGGTGGAAATAGATGTTCTTCCCCCTTCCCCTTGGGGGCCAAAACCCTGAATTCGAATCCTCATTCTGTCCTTTAGCTGCTGTGTGAGCTCAGGCAGGTCTCTTGCCCTCTCTAAGCCTCCATCTCCGCATCTCCCAAATGAGCGGTAACATCTCTCTCCCAAGATCACTGTGAAGATTTTCTTTAACTTTTTCTTATGGAGAGTTTTAAGCTGGGAAAGTAGCACAGTGAACCCCTGTATGCTCATCTCTTGGTTTCAGCAACTGTCAACTCAAAGCCAGTCTTGTTTCTCCATCATCCCCTTCCTAATCCTCTTTCCACGGGATTATTTAAGAACAAATCTCAGACCCATAATCATTTCACCTATAAATACTTCAGTATGTGTCTGAAAGAGATAAGAACTCTTTTTTTTTTT